CTTGGCTCTAATGCTGAAGACTAGAGGCTTTATTCTCCTGTTATGGATTAATACACATTTTCTTTGGGGTTAACACATTGGTTTGCTTTCCCCAGTGGTTACAAACCAAATCCCACGTGATCGGAGACCAACCTCTGCCCAGAGTTAGAGAGCACAGCATCCTCAGTAGTCACAGCAGCGAACACGGACATTACATGTTCTTTGTGCACTGCTCTGGACATGTCTCACTCAGCATGCAGAACAGCATGTGAAGAAGGTGCTATTACCATTATCATCATGACACAGTGAGAAAACCAAGGCACTTGAGAAACAGTCACTCACACAAGGTCACACAGCTAGTAAGTGGTATTGCTGGTGTTGGAACCCAAGTCATTGGGCCCCAGAATCTAAGGACCCAGTCACTACTTCATCAGCCTCCTTCGGCAACAAATCTGGTGGGTAAATATAAACAACCATGACACCTACGCAGTGGGACATTATTTTGATAAATCAACCAAATTTGTTATCAGTCACTATTTCCTCTAACTTGATGATCCTCCTTCAAATAGCAGGGTCTTGATGTCCTTAGGGATAGCATGACAGAATAAAAGACAGAAGACTAAAGAATTTAATGGTGGGATCTGGGCATAAGCACTAGATTTGAAAGAACGGCATTTTATCTCCTCCTCCAGGGCAAGCGGGCTGGAGGACAAAAGAACTCAGGCTGTGTTTTGGCCACTCCTCTCCTAAATTCCTGTGTTACTTTTTGCTCATCATAGTGACAAAATTCAAGAAAAAAAAAAAAAACAACTTAGTGAAGGAAAGATTTGTTTTGGCTCATGGCTTCAGAGATTCTGTCATGGTCCACTGGCTCCATTGCTGGGCCTGAGAGGAGGAGGCCCGGAGGAGGCCGGGTGGTGGAATAAAACTGCTGAGCTCCAGGCAGCCAGGAAGAAAAGGGCAGGGTGGGGGTCAGAGAACCGCCTCACAGAAAGTACTTGGTAAATATTAACTCCCTGACAAATGGGAGAGTTTCAGGGAGTGTACCAGGGCTTGCTTTTGCAAGAGAACCTGGGTGTCCTTGTGATGCCCTCGGGCCACTCCTTCCTAGTTGACTGACTCTAGCCCTGTCCTGGGCCAGCTCTTGATTAAGCAAGACCATGAACACATATTTTTTCATCCCCAATAGGAATATATTTTTCCTATAAGTCCGGCTATCGTTGAGGTAACTGATGTGAAGCTTTCTGATTAGTCGGGGTCTTCTTAGGACATAAGGTTCTGTAATCACAGGGGGATGACCTCGAAAAGCAGGGAAGCCACACACCTGAGCGATCAAGAGAGCCATCTGGTTTCGGTCAGAAAGTCTGGGTTGGAACCTCGTTGTGCCTCATGGAAAATTACCCCATGTAATTTTTATTTCTTTATCTATAAAAAGTGAATTTGAAATCGTTTGCCTTGGGAAGGTTGCTATGTGAATTAAACAAAAGGTATAAAGTTCTTAGCTCAAGGTATAAAGTTCTTAGAGTTGACAGCCACATTCAGCGTGGACGCACGGGTCCTGTGGGGAGGAGCAGGAAGTGCAGGAGAGCCTCAGAGCCAGGCAGCTCTCTGCCAGTTTACAATCAATCATTTTTATCAAAGATAAAAATGACAAAGGATCTTTGCAAGTCAACACTAATGCTTCAACAATAGTATTTTTTAAGTCTTGTTTATTAAAGATTTAACCTATGTTTGAAATTCCTTGAGTTTCTCTGAGTGCATGAATTCTGTTCATTTTAGAACTTTCTGAAGTAGTTAGAGAATGTTTCATTATTGGAATTATTTTATGACTGTTTTGGTAAATACATCTGTAAATCAACGGACATGTTTTGAGTAAAGAATGAACTAAAACCCTCCCAAATTTCAAGATGTTATATAATGACTTATGCAATGACCACTATTTTTATGAGACCCTGTTGATTTATGTCTGCTGTGTCTTGTGGGTGCGCATTGTGGAATTCCTTGGCCTGGCTTGTTTATTAGAATGCACGTCATGTTCATCTTAGACACCATCGGCCCACATAGCTCCTACTACCAGGGTTCTTCATCATTTATCCTTCCTTCTCTACTAAAAAGCCACTTTTTAGTATTTTTGGTTATGGTTATAACCTCCTAATGAAACTATCTGACAGTTTGCAAAGGAAAATTTTATCTTGAGACATTTTTCATATTTGTAGGTGGTAAAAGGTACACTAAAAGGAAGAAATCATGTGGTTAAAAACAAAAAATGGGATCCCAAAGTATCAGGATTAAATTTTCTGGCACTGGGGACTAGTGCAGTCTCCTGGCCTCAGAATACATTTCTGAGTGGTGGTCTAATTCCAATCACATGAATATTATATAAGTACAGTTCTCAAATTCTTTGATTAAAGACCTCTAAAAAGAGTACTTTTCACCAGTCTCCTTCCAAGGCACAGATTCCTGGTTCAACTACATTCAGTTCCTTCTCTGTCACGGCAGGTGGTCAGGGAGAGGTGCAGGGGGAGGTCTCAGGCACTGAAGAGTCTAAGGTGGCACAGGATGGTTGGTTTGACTTCCTGAGGCCTCAGTTCTTCCATATGACTCCATCTTTACTGGGGCGGACAAGTGGCTGCTGCCCCTTGCGAGAGGTATGCTACCGCATTTTGAAGTATTCAGAGTGCTATGGAGGTGCAAGCCCACCTCTGGCCCCCACAGTCCCCACCGATGCCCTCATCTGAAAAACCRCAGTGCAGCTGGGTGGCCCTTCTGACGACACCGGCCTCTGCTCAGCCTCCAGCAGATTGTCATCGAACCAMGTTTTTAAACTGACTGGAGCAGGCTGGAGCGAAACATCCTTAAGACCTCGCTCACTCTGAGACCCTCAGGGAGAACCTCTGCTTGCTCTGCTCAGCGCCTAGAGCTGCATCTGTTGGTTCATGGCCACTATCTCAGCCTTCAAAGCCAGCAGAGCAGCAGCTTCAAAAGTGTCTTTCCCAGTGACCTCCCATCTTTCTCTGATACAGACCCTTGTGATTACATTGGGACCACCATGACCTGCCCTTCTCCCAATTCGTGATCACCCCTGAAGATGTTCTTTCACCATGTAAAGCAACATTTTCAGATTCAGGAGTCAGGAATGGGATGTTCTTGGGAAGGTCCCTGTTGACTCTGTCTAGGTATCCTACTGGTTTAGTGGATGGGAAAAGAAGGTTGCCCTAATCGTGAAAGGTGAATTCTGGGGTTTCTGGGTGATACAACATTGTGGGTTAAGGGAAAAAATAAAGTAATTCATTTTTCATCCTTTCCATTGAGTAGCACTTATAAATGTGTGAACGTTTTTGTTGGAGCAGGAGGGGAACATGTGCCCTTGGCATTTCACTGATTTGACCCATATTCGCTGAGCATACATCAAGGGCCAGGCGCTGTGAGTCCCAGAACACACACCCAAGTGTAGAGATGACCCTTGCTTTCCAGAAACTCAGTTTTATCGAGCAGAAGAAAACAGATGATTTTACTACATTCTCGTAAATGCAGGGAGTAGTATAACCAGGGTGTTCAGCCAAACACCCAACAGCACCCCAGCTCAGACTGAGGAGGTGTGGAAGTGCACCCCAGCTCTATGGTCGGTGCAACTGGAGAAGTGGGGTGAGGATGTGAGTGAGGGACTGTGGCGCAGGGAATCATCCCCGYGGGCTGTTGCCTCCGCATCCCATGCTGGAGCTTGGTGCCTGCATGGCGGGCGGGCGGTGGGAGGGAGGGGAGCTGTGCGTGAAGGGGAAGCAAGGTCAAGGTGAGCCCTTTCTGCCTCCAACACTGATGTGGATCACGTGAGTGTGCTGCAGGAGGAGCAGGTGTCCTCTGCCATCAGACCTAACACACCTGGCTCAGGAGTCAGGTGCTGGAGGAGGATCCAGGGAAGGGGCGGCTGTGTCCCTCTGCAGAGAGGTAACCCAGCAGAGAAACCAGGATGAGGTGAGCGGCAAGGAGCAGGCCACAGAGAGGGCTCCAACCACAGGGAAGGTGCACACCTATGCGCAGGTGTCTGCTGTGGCTGGGGTGCTGCGGCCCCAGGGGGGATGGGAGGGGAAGGATGTGCCCGGGACTCAGTGCTCGGGCGAGGTCACTACAGTTTAGTGGTCCCGGGCAGCATGGGGCTGGGCCCTGGGGGGAACAGGGGCGGTCACTATGAGCGACTGTCCAAGCTGCACTTCAGAGTGTTCAGGTCCTTTAGCACCTGGCATGTGGCGCCTTCTGGGGCTTCCCCTCCTCCTGCCCACAGCTGGCCTGACAGGACAGGCTCCTCAGCTTCCTGKCACCCTCTGCCTCAGGGTCCACTGGAACCACTTGCTCCTCCCTTTCCCCTTTCCCTTCAAGGCCAGCTGCTGGTTCGTGAGGGGGCCCCAGGTGGCCTTCCTTCCTGCCAGACACAGAGGACCACGCTGCATGACCTGCTCTGAGGAGCCTCATTCCTACCATCCAAGTGTCCCCACTGCCCAGCACAGATGTGGCATGCAGAAGGTGCTCGGTCGGTGCTGAAACAAGTTCCAACAGCCTCTCAACAAACCCTTCACTTAAACAGCTGGCCTCCATCTTCGTGGTGCCACACCCGTGGGGGCAAGCTCTGTTGAGATTGGAGAGACCCCGCACCTGTACTGGCACATCCAGACCTTTTTATCTGGTCCCAGTTTCCTAAAGAACACCGTATTCCAGCTGTTTATGTGGCATTTACATGTAATCAGAGAGCTGTGTGTAATCASAGGTGGTTCCACACCCATGGCAGGATGTGTGCAGATTCTGTGCAGCCACCGGGCCATTACTGTGTCCTGTACTTGAGCATCACAGACKTTGACACACGGGAGGTCACTAGAACAGGTGCCACCAAGACTGAGGAGGGACTGGGTTTCCAGGGAGTCAGACGCAGACAAGCACYGGCTTTCCAGACTTCTTTAATCGGGATTAAGAAGGGGCAGTGAAAGCTTCTGGCTGCCTCCAGATCAGCACCTACGATGGGCTCAGGGGATTCAGAGGGAGGGGAAATCTGACTCGTCCTCCTCGGCCTGCTCCAAGATGGCCTCGCACCTGTAGCTCTTGATCAAAATCTCCTCCTCCTCCTCTTCCTCCCCCTCTTCCACGAAGCCCTCCTTACTGCCTTTCGTAGGATCTGCAGGGGTGTGGGTGTAGTCCTTGGGCCAGTTGTAAAGAGGCTTCAATTTCCTGGTGTAGATGAACTTAAACCATCTTCGGAAGGTTTGTTTGATAGTTGAGGAGGTCATCGTGTGGGCTATTTCCCTAAAAATATCACGGGTTTTTTTTGCTAACTCCCGAACCACCGGGTCTTCATCCCGGACTGTTTTTTCAATAACTGCAACAGTAAAAGGGCACTTGGTTTGAAGCAGCTCTCTCTCAGAGGCCAAGAAGCTCCAGCCCTCAGCAACCCCACTGCCCTCCACAGTCCCTTCCTGTCCACTCCCTCTTCTCACTCTCCCTCCCCTTGACGGGGATGAGTAGCATCTCATTAAAAGAAAAATGGAAATAGTCACTAAATGTCCACTGAGTTTCTATTATGTGCTTGGTAGCATCAACATAGATTCATGAGGCTCATGTACACACACTGTATTGATCATAATCATGAAAAATGTTTGCTATTCAGCTACACGATTAGACCCTAGGAGCTGCTTAAAAGTTAAGGTTACCATAAAATGAAGTGATGCACACATTTTAACAAGATGAGATGAGCACATGTTCCTTGGCATGGGAGGTGTTTGACACATGAGTAGGTGAAAAAAGTCATGATAGTTGCAAACACTAAATATGCAATGGCATGTATGTTTTAAAAAATATTCGGGATAACACGTATAGCAAAATGCTAATGGGGTCCTAGGCGACAGCAGGAAGTGGGGAATGATGATTTCATTTCTTAATAAAAGAAGCAGAATAAGGAGGGGCCTTTAGAAAAGAAAGGATGGGGAGAAGGAGCAGGAGGAGAGAGAGGAAAGAGGTGGTAAGAGAGACCAAGGGAGAATCCTGGTGCTGCTGAATGAACGAGAGCGCCCCCTAGTGAGCCAGCGGGGCGAGAGGAGGTGACAGCATAAATTCACAGGGAGTGAGAAATGTGGGACCCGCTGGGGCATGCTGACCGTGGAGGACGTGATGGGCACCTCTGTACCTGCCGCTCAACTTCGTAGGGGAGCCTAAAAATGCTCTGAAAAATAAAGCCTCCTTTTTTTTTTTTTATTTGTAAAGGAAGGAATGAAGGCAGCTCCCCTATTTTCTAACTCACCTGCTAGTGATCAATTCTGACCTAAAGAGGCAACAGAGGCTAAGAGGGGGAGAGGCCTAGGACCCAGACACTGTGGGAGAACAACAGGACCCTGCTAGAGCTCCCTCCTCTGCCAGTGGGACGGGGGCTACCGTCAACTAAAGTGGGAGGGAGGGAACAGGCTTTGGTGGCAGTGGTGGCTGCTGCTGCTGCTGCTGAGGGCCCAGAAGCTAGGACAGCGCTGWCCCTCAGGAGGGGCTGCAGAGGCACTTGCTGGTTGGAGGAGTGAGGGAGTCCCCAACTGCAGTTCCCAAGGGCTCCGGGGGAGTGGTCAGGTTGCAGGGAAAGACTGGGAGAGAGAGCAAGAGACACAGAACAGAGACCAGGAGGTGCCCTCCCACCCGGCCCTCACACTGACTCCCCAACTAACCGTCCCCTGCCCCTGTGCCCTCCTTCCCTCTGGGCACCCTCACGTAGAACTCATGTGACCAGAGTCACAAGTGGAGAGTTTATTTGGACCTATGCATAGATGTGTCATCATGACCTCGGTACTTACCCTCCAGCATGACTTCGATTTCATCTTTGATTAGTAAGTACGCACCCAGCTTTGCCAAGTACCCTAGCACAGAGTGGATTAAAGTTACACCAAAATACATCACGGAAGTGCATTCCCTGCTGTTACCTGGCTACGAGCTTTGCTTTCCTTAACGCAAAGTATCTACAGATGATCTTCCAATCATCTATTAGTGCTTTCAAATGGTTATTATTTAACTATTTATTACAAACTATTTATTGAAACACAGRCCCGTGTTGACCCAAGTTTAAACCCAAGTTTTCAATTCTGTGAATTTTTTAATGAAATGGACACAGATGTGTTAAAATAAGTTGTAAATCATAATCTAGCACTTCCTATATAATTTGTTATCGTTAAAAAAATTAATAAGTATCATCACAAATCATTCACCTATTATTACTTTTTTTTTAAGAATAGAGCTTGAAAAACACAAATATATATCTCACAGTCACCCCGAGTGGGGTCTTTGTGACTCAGTGGCAGGTTCACAGGTGTTCCACAAGCGGGATGACGAGACACCTGGGTTAATGAGTGACTCTGCAGCTAACTCATCTTCCCTATGTCTAGGTCACCAGTGTCCCAGAGGTCACCAGAGTCCCAGAGGCGTCCCTCAAGCCCCTTGCAGTTTCTTCCTGCACCTTTCAGAGCATGCTCTCTGGGGTCCGCCTTCTTGCTGCACTTGAGCTTGGGATTCCCATGGTCTTTGATGCAGCCATGGTGCGTCCATTCCCACGGGTACACGCAGAGCTCAGTTTTCTTGAAACACACTGTGCACCCCGGCTCCGTGTTACACATCATCTCTACCTGCGTTCGCCTTATGACAGCCGAGTACCTCCAACGGAGATTCGGTGGCACTCAAAGCCTAAAATATTTACTATCGGSTTTTCAAAAAAGTTTACTGAACCCTGCTAGGTGATGTTCTATCTTTTATTTATATTTATTTTTAGTAGCTCTGGGGATTGAACCCGGGGGCACTTTATCATGCCCAGCCCTTTTTATGTCGAGACAGGATCTTGCTAAGTTGCTGAGGCTGGCCTCCAACTTCACATCCTCTGCCTCAGCCTCCTGAGTTGCTGGGGTTAACAGGTGTGCTCCACTGTGTGTTTTATCTTATGAATGCAGCCATCCTTTTTTTTTTTTTCTTTTCCTGCCAATGGTGGACATTTGTGCTGTTTCCAGTTTGGGGCTATAGTGAGTAATGGTGTTATGGACATTCTCGTGCATGAATTCGAATTGCTGCTTGGTATATAACTAGCATTTACTGGGTAATGGAGATACTTATGTTCAGCTTTAATAATTACTGCCAAACAGTCTTCCAAAGTGCTTGTACCGATTCTCACTTCCCCCAAAGCCTGGAGACATTCCCCACCTCACTGCCTTGTGTCCAGAGGCCTCGATGTCCAGGAGAACGAGTCCTTCAGCTTTGGCTCCCCTCAGGTCCCCGTGGCTCTCAGACCTTTCAATTTTCACATAAAGTTTAGATCAGCCCACCCAGCTCCACCCACACCTCCAAACCCCAGGTAAGGATCTGCTCAGGACCAGGTTGAGGGCTCGGGAGACTGTGACGCATCTCATCCTTCAATCCACCAACAGGAGACAGCGCTTCACCTGGGTTTTGTTGTTGTTGTTTGTTTTTAACTTCTGTGGTTTTCTGCTTTCTTGTGTCTCGGTGTTGCACGTCTTTTCTTAGTCTTAATACATTTTATATTTTTGGAGTTATATTTGATAATTCAAAAATTTAATTTTTCAATTTTTTTGTGTACCAATATCCAATTGATCTTTGTGTATTGATGTTGTATCTAGAAACTTTGATAAATTCGTTTAATGGTATTTTTTAAGAATTCTCTCCAAGGTTCTAAACGTGCCAACACTTTTGTGGAAATGTTGAAAGTGTTATTTTCTTTTATTCAAACTTAGACATTTTATTTCTTGCTGTTGCCTTACTTCAGTTTTGGATCATTCACGGCCTTATCTCTTCAGGTGGTTTCGTCTGCCTCGCTCTCTCCCTCCTCCTCCTGTAACATGAACGTCGAAGCTTTCTCTGTGTCTCGTAGGATCTCATGCTCTTTCCACATTTCCCATTTTTATTTCTTTAAGCGTTGATCTTGGGGCTGAATCCTTTGCTGTGACATGTTTAATTCTCTCATTCTCTTTTACTTTCTTTCTAATTTGCTGCTGAATGCCATCCATTGAGTTCTGCATTCTATCTCATTATTTAATCATTCAAATATATGAGTCATGTGTATTTTAAACTCTAATATCTTCAACAACTGCACATCCTGGATTCCACTTCTATGGTTTTTTCCTTCTGGTTGAAAGCATTTCTATGAGACTGGCTAATTTTGGTAAAAATAAGCTATTGTATGAAGATGTGGATTTTCTGTATTTCAAAAAGCCCTCCTTAGAGAAAGTAGCAATTTACAGTGTCACTAGTGTGCTTGGTCTTTTCTTGCCACCTGACCAAAATGTATAGTATAAAACTTTTTTTTTTCCTTCAGGACTGGGGATTGAACCCAGGGGCACCCCACCACTGAGCTACATCTTCAGCTCTTTTTACTTTTTATTTGGAGACAGAATCTCACTAAGTTGCTGAGGCTGGCTTCCAACTTGTGATCCTCCTGCCTCAGCCTCCCTAGTAGCTGAAATTACAGATGTTACCAGAGTATTCAGCTAGTAAAAAACTTTTGATTTTCATTAACCTCATGGACAGAAACCTTTCACCATTCAATTTGCTTTACTGTATGTGTAAAATTGTGAAAGGTCATATATAAGTGCCAAATATATGTATTTTTCATATATTCTTTGCCAATTTTCCTACTGAATTGGTTGTGTAATGGATTTGTAAGAATTCCTTTGATAATGAGTATTCACCCTTTATCTATGATAAGTATAAATATTTTACCTTAATTTGGCTTTTAACTTGGTTTCTGCTGGTTTTGCCTCACCAAGATTGTCATGTAGTTAACAATCTTCTGTTATGGCTGCTAGGTTTAGACTTTTGCTTAGAAAACTTTTCCTTCTTCCATGATTATAAGGCAGATATTCCGGATTGTTGTTTTTTTTTTAAACTTTTTTTTTTTTTTTTTTTTTTTTTTTTAGAGAAAGAGAGAGAGAGAGGAGAGAGAGAGAGAGAGAATTTTAATATTTATTTTTTTAGTTATCGGCAGACACAACATCTATGTTGGTATGTGGTGCTAAGGATCGAACCCGGGCCGCACGCATGCCAGGCGAGCGCTCTACCTCTTGAGCCACATCCCCCGCCCTCCGGATTGTTTTTATCTTGTTCTATTTATAATTATGAGTTGATTTTTTAGCATTTGACTCTTTGACTATATGGAATTTATTTAATGTAAAAAGTTAAAAATGAATAAAATAATTCAAAAAATTCCCAGTGGCTTACTAGGTGTCCCACATTGTCTAAGAAGCCCACTATTCACTTTCTAAAATGCTGCATGAGTTGGGCTGTCTGCATGGCGTCCTGTTGCGTTCATCTGTCTGATCATTGGTTTGATGGGGCCAGTTCCCCCTCCTCATTCTTTCATGCCTACTTTTACACTTAGTTTGAGAATCAGCATGCTAATTTAAACAAAAGAAATCCTATTGGTGCTTTAATTAGCATGGTTCCATGTATAAATTTAGGAAATAATTCATACATTTTTTGGGGGGTGGTACCAGGGATTAACCAAAGGGCCACTTTACCCCTGAGCCACATCCCCAGCCCTATTTTGTATTTTATTTAGAGACAAGGTCTCACTGAGTTGCTTAGCTCCTTGCTTTTGCTGAGGCTGGCTTTGAACTCGGGATCCTCCTTCCTCAGCCTCCTGAGCTGCTGAGATTACAGGCCTGCTCCACCGCACCTGGCTTCATCCATTTTTTTGTTTTGGTTTTGTCTTTTCCGAGACATGATTTATACCCTTCTCTTTATTCAAGCCTTGTGTCCTTCAGTCATGTCTGCAAGTTTTCTTCACAGGTGTACTGCACACATTCCAAAGTTCAGGTTTAGATGTCCCCCCTCCCCTCTGTCCATGCTTCCTTCCGTCTTTCCTCTTCCCATCTCTCTTCCTCTCTCATCTTCTTCCTCCCTCCCTTAAGCTGACCACCCCGGGGGCTTCTGCTGTGCCCTCTGGAGTCTGGCTGGACTCCATCCACCTGCCTCTACTTTCCTCAGAAAAGCTCTTCCTCGTTGTTGTAGTTGGTGGCTGCAGATGTCCAAGGCTTGCTGACGATGGAGTTGGTTGGTGCATGTTTTAAAGTTGTTCTTTGGACAGTGACTTTTAGGCAGTGAAAGGAAGGATGAGCTGTGATAGGTCTCTGTCTTAAAGTTTGAAATCGCCCTATTGGACGCATTCTGTGCAATCATTTGACCAATGCAACTGCATTGCACAGACACCTCTGCTCTCAGCTCATTATTAACCTCCGTTCATCACAGATGGCACCATCACAGGTGCTGGGCATCATAAACAGAGAGGATCTGTGACTTAATGCAGACTTWCACTGCTAGACTCCTCTGTACCTCGAAAGACAAGAAATAGGATTAAATTTATTTACCTACTAAAATAACCGATCCTCTCCTCAGGTATAGCCGGGAGCTCCCCAGGAACCCTAAGGTATCAGATATTAAACCTGAAATGTGGCTCTCGTGAGAAGCAGCCTAAGAATGAAAAGGGAAAGAACCATCTCTCAGTTGTTTAAGCCACTTTTCTCCCTTCAGAGAGGCTGCAAGACAGAGGTCACGATTGCTCCCAACCGTATCAGCCCCAGCGGAGCCTGCGGCGTCCTGTGTGGGACACGCTCTCTGGCAGGCTTTGAGCTGTTCACCATGTGACTCCGGAACCCACCTGTGCTGAGCTCTCTGCCACCCCCACGTGTCTCCACTGCCCACGCTGGTTTTCAGGGGACCAGGCCACGCGGGGTGGCAATGGAACTCCAAGAAGAAGAGGAAGCGGGGTTCTAGTTTTCGGCCATCCCAAGCCCCGGCCACGGTCACACTTAACTTGTTCTGTTTCCTTCACATTCTTTCTGCAGGATCCCCCCTGCCCTCCCCCATTTCGTCACTTTGTGCGGCCCTTCCCTTCTGTCTGTGGGTCTGAACGGTGGAAAGGGAAGGGCTACTCACAAGGTGGTTACAGATGTTGAGCACCACCAGCTCAAAGTTGTAATTCTCATCTTTGAGATAAACTGGTGTGGGCCACCTCAGCTGGGAGGCACAGCCTCTTAACGCGTATTGACATGCCTGTGGGACACAAAAGGGTCCCTCAAGATCTCTTCTTTTGTGGTTGCATAAAACATTGTGATTTTCTGCAAAATTCAGGGGGGAAAAAAGTCGTACTTTTGAGACTCTTATCTCCTTGTCCTCCAAAAACAGGATCAGGGGTACCAAGGCTCCAAGGGCCAAAGGGTTGAGCATCCAGGTGAACTGACTCATATCCTTCAGCAACTCACCAAAGTGTCGAATGGCCATGCTCCGGATGCCCCCATTGTTCTGCCAGGTGCATGCGGAAAAGAGAAAGGGCCTCATCTGAGCACACTGGTACCACTGCTGTCTTCAATCAACACGATCTACTTATCTATCTATTTTATATGCGTATATTCGTATATTCAAATGTATGAAATTATTATTTATTTTTAGGAAAGATCTCGTCTACAGAGCTCTTCTTTTGGTTTTAACGTAAGATTTACTTACCCATCATCGACCACAGCCAAGATGTAGAATGGACCTAATGCCCACTAATGGAAGAATGGATAAAGGCCACACGTGTGAGTGTGCACCTCCCCTCTGCCCCACAAGTACTCTAAGTCATCATAAAGAAGAAAATCATTGCAAAAACTACAACGGACCCCAGAGGACACTATATGGCATGAACTCGGCTAGGCACAGCATGGACAGACAATCCCTGCCTGCTGGCCTCACACACACACCCTGAGGGAGTCAAACTCATCACACAGAGGGGAACAGTGGTCGCCAGGAGCTGGAGGCGGTGGGCGTGGAGGAATGCAAGACGTGTTCATTAGAGGGTCTGAAGCTTCAGTTAGACGGATGGATGAATTTTGGAGTGTTAATAATGTATAGCACGTTGACTATGGTCAGCCATAATGCATTTTGTACTTGAAACTTGCAAAGAGATTAGATCTTAAAATGTTCTCACCATAAAAAAAAATGATATGTGAAAAGATGGATTACATTGGTTAGCTTGATTTAATCATTTAACAGCATGTGCATATATCAAAATGTCACATTGGACAAAAATAATTTATGTGATTTTCATTTGTCAGCTATGCTTTAACTGGGGAAAATATTGAAACTGGTTAAAAAAAAACATGAAAAGTTTTACTTACCAGAATTCAGATGGTGTTAAAAAAAAAAGTCTTGTGTAAAAAGTGAATTTCTTAAATTTAGGAAGACTATAGTACTTAATCATGTCCTCAAAATATAAACTGGAATAATCTGCATAATTGGGGATAATTTACCCAGGCTGTGTTCAAGGCTAGAGGACTTTGCGGAATTGCAAATCAATAGCCATGGGAGTGCCTCACCTATGGGCATACAGCTGGCCAAGTAGGAACTGACTGCATCATGAAGACTCTAGAAGGGAAAAATCTCTGCCAGAGTCAGAAACTATTTTTAAAAATACAATCTTCTCTTCTAGTATTGAGGAATTATCATCTTCTAGTATGGACATCACTAACTTACTGTCCTCTTTCACCCATGATCAGAGACTGTTCTTCAATTCTCCTTTCTTTTTTTTTTTTTTTAGAATGTTAATATTTATTTATTTATTTATTTTTTAGTTTTCGGCAGACACAACATCTTTGTATGTGGTGCTGAGGATGGAACCCAGGCTGCACGCATGCCAGGCGAGCACGCTACTGCTTGAGCCACATCCCCAGCCCTGATTCTCCTTCCTTAGGGACAAACTTTTCTAGATTGTCACAGTGTAGTTACAAAATAATTAAATAAAATGGTCCCACAAATACTCATGCCTGGAGCAGAAAAGCTGGCTCTAGGGGGAAGAGTGCCACCTGCCGGTGAGGCCAGGCTACGACAGGACCTCCACTGGGGCTTCCGCTGAACCCCACAACCTCCGGCTCCTCTACTCAGTTCTCCTCCTAACTCACGTGATCCATCAGACGACAGTAGCTGGAAGCGATTTTGGCGCACAGTGAGGAGTAGATCACCCTGTCCAGTTTGCATAGAAGTTTCCGGAGGGTGAGCAAGGCCCGGATGACAACGGTGTGTTCCTTGGAATGGAAGGCTTCCAGGATGGATGTCAGTAGGCTGCAGACATTTTCTATCTGCATGAAGAAGAGGGAAGATGGTGGGATCTGGGAACTGGAGGAGATTAGAGCTAGTGTTTGGCTTGCACGTCTGGCTCTGGCTCGAAAGAGTCACTTGTCCAGTTGCCAAAAATTTTGTGGCCTACTATTTTTAAAATGTCATTATTACAAGTCGGGGCTGGGGTTGTGGCTCATGGTGGAGCACTTGCCTAGCATGTGCGAGGCACTGAGTTCAATCCTCAGCACCACATATACATAAATAAAAAATAAAGGTCATGGACAACCAAAAATATTTTTTAAAAAGTCATTATTAAAAGTTAAATTGTATTAGTTTAGCATTAAATAAAACCAAAGGTAATACTACAAAGTGACGGATTCCCGATTATTTTGGTGACAATTCACTATTTTCTACACTCCTGAGTGGTGGAGGCCACTATCCAGCTAGAACACTGGGCTTCGTCCACAGCAGGGAAACCTGAGCCCAGATCACGGCAGTACTTCTATTTCACTCTCCTCGCTATTCTGGATACAGAGCCCCCATTTCGTCAATGACATTGGCCCGAGCTCTGGACAAAGCAACGAAAAACTTGATGCTTCCTAAAAGAATGTTYGCTGCCGATAAATCTGTTCACTTTCGTGATTTATTTAAAGCAAACAGACCATGGCTCATGCCGTTCTAAATGCAAAAGCGGTGTTTACGGACTGGCCTTGAGCTTTTGGAGACTATGTTGAATAGGTAATGGAGYCATCATGGTTAGTTATTATTAGTTATATTATTAGTTATTGCTTATTATGAGGCTCATTCTTAAATCAACAATGAGTCACGCAGCATCTGCAGTCTCCGCGTGGTACAAGACCCGTTGGAGTCTGGAACTGCAGAACCCAGAGGCAGGCTCAGTTCCAGGGACTGGAGGGCTTTCGTCCGATTCAGGGGGAACCAGGCCAGACGGTGACTCCCAACTGTAACCTGTGTTAGGATCAACCGAAGATTCTTTTAACACACAGACTGAAGTCCTCAACCCAGAATTTCTGATTCCACAGGGTGGGGTGGGCCCCCAGGATCTGGTGGTGATGTTGGTGGCTCTACAACCGTACTTTGGGGTCCGTGACATGAGGCAGTGCTCATGGGGGTGTTGGCTCTGAGAAGGGATGAGGCCATTCAGTGAGGTCCACCTTGAGCTGACGGTTGGGAAAGGAGAAAAAACGTGCCTGTGGCAGCTGACGGAGAGGGTGAGGCGTGGAAGGAGAAGCCGCGTGCTCCCCAGATGGACTTGGTGAGTGCACCGTGGCGCTGGAGGGAAACTTGCTGAGGAGTCTGTGGTGTAGACTGGAAGAGGGGTGATCCTGGAGGGCCCGGGTGATAAGTTTTGAGGGCAATGAATGATTTTATGGAAAATTTATAAATAAGGTGTTAAAGCCCCTAAGTTGGCTTATATTCTCTTCATTTAACTCAGTATTCTTATTGGAAAAAAATATACTAATTGTGCTGTGATTTACAGAAACTGAAAAATAATATCGATGTTTTATCGTAAAGATCTCGAGCAGCATCGGAATATCCAATTACGACTTTGGCGGTGCGGGCGGACACAACCCCCCCACGTACTTCATTGATGACAGGGGCCATGTTRGCGATTTTCTGGAGACTCAACTTGCTGACTACAGGGTTGGAGTCGTTGATCCAGTTTTTGTAGAGGACCATAAATTCTTCTGGGAATGGGTCCTTGAAGAAGTTATTCAGAAGCTGAAAGAAAAGAGTTAATAAGTTAATGATGAGTTCAGGCCAACTGTGGCATGATTTCTGCCTGGCACCAAATCAAGACATTTTCAGCAAACCAGAATACAAACTCCAAGAGCTTGTGTGTATGGCTCTACGCGTTTGGGTGCTCGTAGAAGAGGGGACGGGGACAGCGACTAGAGTAACTCACAGATGCTTTGCTTTGTTTTCATGGCTTCTCTTCATCATTGGAAACTGAATGACCCATTTAAGACTCACTCACAGGGTGGAGTTTTTTTGACCGGGGATGATGCCAACAGGTGATGCCTATAAACGGCCTGGTGAGCAAAAGAGTCCCGGCCCACGRCCCTGTGAGTTACGGATGAGCGGAGAGGCTGGTGCCCTGCAAGACTAGACACTGTTTCAAAGAAGGAGCCGAGTTGTGAGCTGAGGCCAGGACTACGAAGGAGAGCTGGCAGATGCTGCAAGAACATTCACCAGGTACTGGATTTCGACTGTGATGAAAATTTGATTTAGAATGAAGAGTGATATTTAGATTTGGACGTGAAGGCCGAGTTGGCATTAGCTGGATAAAGTGTTTGAAGGAGACACTTCCAGGGATGGTGATCATGTACTAAGGCCCTGAGGTTGATGAGGCAGGGTGTGACTGAACTCTTTTTAAAAGAGCAGCCAYAGGGTAGGGGGCAGGGAGGACAGGAGGCAGGAGGGACCCGGGGGCCAAGTTGAGGGGGTTTAGTCTGTAACAGCCAGTTTCCCCCAAAGATGTGATTATCACGAGCCATCTTGCACCTAAAACAGGCACTCAAATATGTGCATTTTTAAAATCTCTTAAAATATGCATTGACAGYTTTAAAAACACAATTTTCATGGAAGAATTTTACACGTTGCTCAGATAGGTAAAGAGTACAGGGAAAACAGGGGAAAACTGGAAGGAAATGGTACAGCAAGAGCCGGTGAGAGGGAGGGGTCAGGCTTTCCTTCCACAATCTTCCAGAGAGCTTTCCTCCAAATTGCACAGCTCATCAGAAGTGTCCACCACTTCCTAGAGCAAGACGTTTATTCAACGTCCATGGCGTGGAACGGAAAGCCTAGSAGCCATGGAAATGCCAGACACCCCTCCTCCAGTTAGTGGTTCAACATCCTAAACCACAGCAGTCAGACAGACAGATGATAAGGACGACACAAAACAGTGAAAAATAATGACCATCTGATGTGGACAGCTGGAAACAGACGTGTCACTTGAGTTTAAAGAAATGCTAAAATCCACAGGGTGGCCTCCCTCATCCAGGCGTGGCTCCCCTCCCTGGGCCTCAGTCCACTCCCCGCCGTTCTCCCAAGTCTTGGTGGGAGTGGGCAGGGGTGGAGGGGAGAGGCTGCGGGCAGCTTGGTGAGGACCAGGGGAGGCACCAGACACCACCGCTCAAGCTCTCCTGGAAACTCACTTCAGTGAAGAATATTATGGTGACGATATTGTCTTCGGACCTTCTAGGACCTTCCACGGAGATCTTGTAGAAATAATGTAGAGTCTCTGGGAACTGTGGGAAGTTGAACTCACTGAGAGTTCTGTAAAGGAGAAGAAGCCCCAGTGAGCAGAGAACGAAAGCACACGTCCAGTCCTGATGGTGAGGAGAGACGATGCTGCCCTCAGCCTTCCAGCTCGCAGGTGGGAAGGACAAGACACTGCCCACCGTTCCCTAATCCAGGGGAGGCCGCAGCCCACCACGGGTTCTACAGACTGCAGAGCCAGCGACCCTGGACCTGCTGCCGTTTCTTCCTGGCCCCTCTATCCCGTCTCCCACATCCTTGGCCACACAACAGGAGGAGCTATTTCTGTGCAAGATCCAGTCCTTGTCCAAAGGGAGAAGAAATAGATGTCTAAAGCTCAATTCAAGACAGCCACCCAGGTCACCTAGGGGGTTTCAAATCAAGCTCTTCCTTTTAATTCTGTGAGGAAGGAGAGAGTCGGGGCCCATCTTGGGCTGCTCAGGAGAAGAGGCGGCGAGCTCTGGTGCACTAAGCCATCCTCCAGACACTTGGACACTGGCTGGGCTCACAGTGGTTCTGACCATGGGCCTGGATCAGCTCGGTAGAGGCAGGATCAGGAAGGGGCCGTGACAGAGTTTCCATGCCAGGACTCACACTGGCTTCCTTAAACTTTAAGGTGCATTCAAACCAGCCAGATCTCGCTAATACAAGAGTCTGAGTTTTAACTCCCAGTTAAAATGCTGTTGCTGCTGGTCTATACCAAGCTTGGAGTCAGAGGATCTAAGATACTAAGGACAGGGTGACACTTAATTAGGGTCCACTTGTAGGTTGCAGGAGTACTACACTCTCACACAGGAAGTGCAAACAAGTGGCCATTTTTAAAGGCACCCGTGAACCACATAGGCTGTCCTCTCTGGGTTGGGCACAACTTCAAATGGTCTGTCATGTTGACAAGGCACCGTAGCTTAATTCTTGATCAGAAAAGCTGATCCCTGTAATCCTAAACGTGCTGTTCACTGAAGACTGACTAGAAAACAACCTTTCCAGTACACAAAAACTGAAAGTTCCGTTCTATCACATTTTCCAAAACTTATCTGGCTCGTTGGACACAGGTCTTTACTGGAGCTCTTTAAAGCACATCTAGAAAGATCTGGTGCCTGAAGAGCAGGGAACAGCTAACATCAGAAGGGAAAAACCAGACTGACCTTTGGTCCTCTGAGAGCTACCTGCAAGAGAAACCTGTTCTGCAGAGAGAGGATAATTGGGTATCATCAGGTAAAAGAGAAGGCTAGGGAAAATATCCCCCCCAAACTCCTCAAAATAGTTGAAGAAAAAGAATCCAGAGCCAATCCAGATCATTTGGAGAGATTTAGACATTGGAGGAGATGCCAACTGTGTTCTCTGTGACCTACATGAAGGAAGGTGGAGAAGGTGGCACAGAGACCAAGCCTCCTGCACGGCGCCCCCTTTCTTACTTGGCAATGAGGTGAACCCCGAGTTGGTGATACAGTGCTTGGGAAAACTGGTTCCAGCAGTTCTTTTTCTTCAGAGCAGCATCCACCTCTTGTAATCCGGAAGAGTTGAGCAGAGCTCTCAGGGCGTCCCGGGCATAGCTAGTAAAGGACAGCCAACTTCACACAACCAAGTACGCATGCCCTGGCCCTGCACCCCCTCTTAGGCAGGATAGGGTTTGGAGAAAGGGGATGTTTCAGAGGCAGGAGGTCACCCCACACGGTCATCTCAGCAGTATAAGGGGTGGAGTTTGAATTAAAACCGTAGCCACAAGATCCTGGGCTACCCAAGGAACCTCTTGCTAGTTTATGGGCTTATTGGTAAGAGATGCTGGACAATGTGACAGCCTGCTGAAGGTGTCCCTTTCCTTGGTGGACGCCATAAGTAGATAGGATAGGTTTCCATCTGCTGGGGTGGTTCGCCTAAAGAGCAGGGAGTGGGGCATACATCCAGGGCCGGCTCCTGTTTCAGGGTGCCCCCTGGTTTAGATGTCCACACTAGACAAGGCAAACCGCTGGGCTGGGATGCAGTGCTGCCCTCCTCCCTCACCCCGCCCCCACAGAGCAACGGGAGTGGACAGTGTCCCGGGGCCTGGTGGCCTCTACATGCACACACAGGGGGGGGGGTCCTGCCTAGGTCCTCGGGTGGCGCTTCTCTGAAGGTACTGTGCCCTCAGAGGAGAGGACAGGGCAGTGGGTGAATGCACCCGCAGGAGGCAGGAGCCCCCGGGGCCCAGGGCTGGACGCTCGTGGTGGGCGCTCACAGCGGCCTGTCCTGGGGCATCACTCTCAGCTGGCTGCTGTAGAAGAGCTGCAGCATGAGGGCCAACAGGAGGTGCGGGAAGAACTGGGCCACGGCCTTCTTGTAAGAGCCCACGGGCAGAAACGTGCACAGGGCCTGCGACGCCTGTCGGGAGGAAGAGGCCCGTGAGTCTTGGCCATGAAGAAAGGCGGAACTCTGCACCCCACCCCTCCAACCCCAGGAAGGCAGCTGCTGCCTGCCATCCCTTCAGCAATAGCAGAACCAGGAGCGCCAGAGCGCCAGAGTCCTACCAATAACCCAGGCCCCCGGTGCTGAGCAATCCAGGGAAGCGGCATAGGTAAAGGGTGGGCCGGCTGGTGCCTGGGTCTTTTGGTGTGCTGACCCCTGGCAAGCCAGCACAGGAGATCTTCACGTCCCAGCACCTCGCCATGTTCCTCTGCTGTATTTCTGCAAAACCTGAATTTATTCCCCAAAATGGTGATTTGGGTCGTTGGGGGTGCATGCACTGGACGCAGGTGCAATTAGCCCTTCCCGTGTCTAGATGACCATGTGATTTAGCCGGACGCTGCCCCTCTGCCACCTACACCTGCACCCTAGCTCAGTTCAGCCAGATTCCCGGGCCTCCTGGCGTTCCCCAACACAGGTGAGCTCCAGTCACCACAGGACATTTGCTCTTCTGTTCCTCCTGTACACATGCAAAGACCACCCTCACCAGACTCAAGTGTCTGACTAGATGTCACCTCAGCAGAGAGGCCTGCCCTGACCCGATGACCTAACCAGCGCCTTCCCACCCACACAAATGTATGTTTCTTTGGACACGTGYCACACTTATTTGTTCCTCGCCTCCGTTCTCAGCAGAATGCAAGCTCCCAGGTCTGACAGGGTGTTGGAGAGTGGGTGCCCGAGGGGGGACTGGGATCTCCCCCCGGAAACACAAGTTGGGAGGAGGCACGCGTGTCCTTTACCGCCACAGGCATCATGTTGGTGGCGTCCAGGGAGAAGCGCCTCTTTTCCTCCATGTCCTCCTCCGTCTCTCCGGGCTTTCCTTTCAGGATCAGAAGGATAGTCTTCAGCACAAGAGGGGCCACGCTGCCCTCGGAACCCGCCGCTTGCCACATCAGTATCAGAGTGCTGTGGACACAGAGGGCTGCGGCCTTAGGGGAAGCCCGCGTGGACCACCCCAGGTGGACTGGCATCCCGTTGTAGTGATCCCACCTGTGGTTATCCTCAAAAACAGAGGAAGAAGTGAAACAAGGTCTTTAAAAAAAACAGTCTGCATGTCGGAGTGGTCATTTCTTACTGCTATTTAAATGTCCGTCAAGTTCATGTCAAGAACCCATCCGTTCTCTGCACCCCAAACTCCGCTCCTCTAGCTCCTGATCCCGTTAGTCCAGGAAGAGTGGCACACTTAAAGACTGGCATGGGGATACAAATGCAAATAAAATGTAGACGATTCTTCAAAACCCTAAATAAAATAACTAAACAAATAAAAATAAAACCGGAGCTCATTTGGCCAAATGTACCATAAAATTTTAATGGTGACACAGATGTGACTAGAGCCCTGGCTTCTTCAGTCCCCGAGCTCTGTTCCCTACACACTCAGCCGCTGTTCATGATTATTCCTACCTTTGCTCATCTTAAAAACTGCTGCTTATCTTTTTGCCGATATATTCCCGAGACCTTGTGGACCTGTGCAGAGTTCTGATGCCGCTAGCTCAGTCTTCCTGGCTCCTACTTTGGGGCCTGGATTACGTGGATGTACCCACTCTGTGGAGCGGCCCTTGCCCTCAGGGCTCACACTGAGAACCCCGTGGACAGCCCGTCGCAGGCCTGTCTTGTTTTCTTGCATCTTGCTCATAACTTCTCTAGCTTGGCTCCAGGTCTGAGCCTTTTCCACCCGTCCTTGCTCACCAGTGCGTAAGACCTGGGCCAGGTGGCGGGTTTGCCTGGCTCTGCCCGCTCCCTGTGCCACCCTGCTGGTCATGGGCACTGGAGTTGTCAGCAGGTTTTGCCCTCGTGGGTCTATTCCCCCGCAAAGGCTCGAGGGCGGATGWCACTGTGTGCACAGCGGTGCCTCACGCCTGAAGAGGGGGGACACCGAGTCTCCCGCGCTCTTTCCAGGAATGTAATGGACAGTGAGCTATGGTGTGGGTTCAGCCTCCTAAAACCAGCAATCTCTCAGTCAGGGGAAAAAAGTAGATACTCTGTTCAGAACGTTAAAAAAAAACACTCTATGAATTTTTTCCCTCAAAAAAAAAAGAGTAAATTCATAAGTGGGAAGAAAAGATCCTTCATCATTTTGAGAAGTTTGTTCCTGTGTGATCTGTGATAGAATATGTTGAAAGCCTCAGATAATCGACATTTCTTGAGGGCCTACTCTGAGCCAGGTATCCTACAAGGTTACAACTAATAGATATGATCTTATCTAAGTCTCACAATCATCCAACATGAGGTAAAGATAGATATCCTCAGAAATAAGGAACTGGCCTCACCATGACGGGTGGAGATTGGAGCCAAGTCCCTCTGACTGTGGAGTCTGAGAACAAACCTGGGTGGGGGTGGGGGGGGGGCAGTGGGGGTCTCCTTACTCATCGGCGGGCACCGGGTAGTCCATGAGTTGAAAGATGACCTTCTTGGGTGAAGTGCGCGTCAGCGAGGTGGTGACCCGCAGCATGGAGTGCTTCATGCTGTGGGAGGGATCTTCACGCAGCTTCTTATAAATGAAATTCACAATCTTAGACACCTGGAAGAGAAATTCCTCAGATGGACCCCAGTCTCCCACGGCAAAGCCACCTTTCAACCAAAGCATTGCTCCATGAAAGTTTCAGAATGATCAGAGCAGCAGTGAACACACAAATACGCACCAGCAGAAAGTGTGTGTGATGTGTGTGACCACACAGTGCACTTCTGTAGAAGGGGGACCAGCAGGAGAGGAGGATGGGCAGGGAGAGAGGAGGGGAGGTGCCGGGGCCCAAGTTGATCAAGTTACGCTGTGAGCCTGTAGGATGGCGCCACAGTGGGTCTCGCTCTTCTGTGTTACTATGCGGTGATAATTTTAAAAAGCTGGGCATTCATGAATATTGGAGAAATGCCCATTTTTAGAAAATTTGTTTGGGGAGGCCAGACTTCATTATATAAGGCATACAAGCTTAATGATAGAAACATATATATATATATATATATATATATTATCTTAAAGAAGAAAGTGAAAACAATTGAGTAGAATAATGATGGACATATTTATCTCAAAAATTGTTCTGAGAATTAAAGAACTGAATCTGCATATTGAGGGCGCGAACTGGGATGAGAGGAATCAGCCAGAGTGGTGAACCCTGAGCCATAATCTCACAAACTCTGATCACAGGTTCCATGTTTGTTTTACTTCTCCTCCTTTTTTACCAATTCCTGAACAGGAGAGTCCCCGCTAGACCTGGAATGTGTCTGAAAGCAATGAAGTCTCGAATAGTGCAGAGCCCTCTCGTACCATGGGTGCTCCAAGCACCAGAGACCTACACCTCGTCTCCTCCAGGGACCTCCTCACTGTAGGCCCAGAGCTGCTGCTGCTTGGCCTCCTCCTGCTCTGATGCGGCTTAGCCCTAGAACAAGCCAGCCCCGGCCCTGGGTGCTCAACTCTGGGGTGATGATCTGTTTCAAACTCAGAGAAACACTCGATGTGTTAGACCCACGCAGAGCTCCTAAGGCCACACAGCATGATGTGCCACTGGGGCGGGGGTGTATTTTTAACCCCCTAGGCTTGGTAGCCCAGTTGTCTGTGGGAGCTGGGGAAGGRTGATAAAGTCAGAGAACCCCATTTTTGTTCCGTTCTATGTGGTTAGTGTTTTACTGTAACAGAGGATGTTTGTTTCTGGCTTTCTGGTGGTGTTCTTTCTCTCCAGGAACTTGGAATGGCTTCATCTAGCCTCCCTTGGATGCTCCTTCCTCCTGTTAGARGAGAACTCTGTGGAGCAGAGTGAGTGGGGTAGTCATTGTAGGAGCTCCTTGGAAAAAAGTCCCTTGCTCTCTCTCCCTCTTGCAATCTTCCCTTGCCCTTCTGCCTGCCACCATGAGAGGATGCCACAAGGAGGCCCTTGCTAGATGCAGTATCCTCAAGCTGGGACTTACCAGGCTCCAAAACTGTAAGAAATGAATCTCTATTTGTTTTAAATCACCCAGCCTCAGGGATTCTGATATAGCTACACAAAGCAGACTAAGGCAGAAACCCCCTATATTCTTTCCATCTTTCTTTACTTATCAGCAAGGAGAGGGTGTTAKACTATGTGAATGACAACAAGTAAAATAAAAGCAGCTGAATTAGTTTTGGGTAGTGTTTTTACTCATTTGGTAACAATGAAATGTATTTGTGTGTATATGSTATAAAATATAAATTGTTTTATTTTGGTAAATGGCATTTTGCAATATAGATGTGGATAGCAAAATTTATGTAATAGTTTAAAATTATTTAAAACTAAAATTGTTCTTTTTATTTAGAAAAACATCAAATTCGAACATCAACAAATAATGAATACTTGAGAGAGGGAGACCTCCGAGGAAAGGTGACCATCCTCGTGTGCTGACACACATCATGACACTGTTCTCCCATGTGGTGAGGACACGGGTCCATCTTTCATTTTTCCTAAACTCTACAAACTATGCCAAGCTGAGGGTCCTTGAAAACTTGCCTTCAAGGCTGTGCAGATTTCAATTATAACTCTACTGTTATTGTTATTGAAAGATTTATWTTAAAAAGATCAAATATGGCAAAATATTATCATTTAATATGATTGATTGGGTGGATATTCATTATCATATTCTCTAAAATTTTCTATATGGTGAAATATTTCATTTAAAAAAGCCTCATTTTAGTAAAGTGACAGAATGAAAAATGGCAAGGACTGTAAACTGAGAGAAATAGATTTAGAGCAAAGTCAAAAAGTAGACTTGAGAGACTAAGCCCTCCCCGCCTCTGCTCACTGCTGAGTCTTACCATGATGACCTTCTGGGAGTGGTACTGCAGAGTCAGCTTCAGGATGGAGGCTGCCTCAGAGGCAATTTCAAAACTGGCTTCAGACAGTTTCATCAGGAGGGTCCACACAAAGTCAGTCAGCAAGGAGGGCAGTAAAGTATTTCCTACACTCTGCAACCAGAAGGAGAGTTGTGACCTCAGACCTCATARCAACACAGGAAAATGCTGAACTCAGACCCTGGGGGAAGCTCCAGGGCCAGACAGGACCTCGAGACTTTCATGGGCCTCTGTGGGCTCTTCCTTTATTAAAAACTARCAGAAGTCATATTTTCTAATAGTGTCAGTACAAAGACGACTATAATCCAARGGTAATTTTATTCGGTTTTGTGTTCTGATTTTAAAACAATTCTGCTGTCCAGGTATTGTGGACATCTTTAGCTTTGGAGATGAGTTTGCTYAGGTCAGAAACAAGTACAGTGGGCAGATGCAGGAGGAGGTGGGCAAGAAATCAAGGTGACTCAAATGTGCACATCAACAACTAGGAAGAGAGAGAGGGTCTGTCAGCCCACCACTGAGGTCAAAGAACGACTACGCAAACAACCCTCTTCTAAAGTCAGAGGAATATCCATGGACCGAAAAATTAGAATACAATTTTATGATTATGGACCAAGGAAAGATGAATGAACCCTTTTCTCCTTGTSCTTTACATGAGAAAAATCACATTCTTCCAGGTTCAGAAGGTACCCAGTCCCAACAGTAAAGCTTTTCTGTATTGTCCACAGGGATGGGTGATCACCTTTTTCAATGGAAAAGGACTGAGGTCTGAGTGAGAATGGAGGACCACCAGCCCTGCTTCCAGTGGGTAAGGGTGAAGGGTGGGGTCCTGGAGAGGRATGGAAACCAGAAGAGGGCAACCAAGGCTCCGCGAACCCAACCCAATACTGGAAACAGTTGGCCTTACTTGAAGAAAGCCAAATTGAATGTGAGACGCTGAATTAAAAAAAAAAAAACAAAAAACAAAACAAAAAAAAACAAAAAAAAAACATCAGGAGGAGAAATATTCTCTTTTGAATATTTATTTACTCAAAAAATTTAATCTAGTATCTATCTGAATGTTGTGGGAGTTTCTCAGTGCAACTTAGAACKAAAGTTGGATGTTTCTGTGAGGTGAAGAAGGTATGAAGGTAGACAATCAGAGGATGGCGTTCACTTCATCAGATGAGATCAACACAGAGCCACAGTGTCACCCCACGTCTACAGACCTTCTCTTGCTATTGCACCCCCTTGCTGAATGCCCTGGATGCTCCTGTTGGGAGTCSCCCYKGCTCCAAAGACTAACTTCCCCATCCCCCAAGAAGAGCCSTCCAATGGTGAGCCCTGCTAGGCTCACATGATCCTGGCATCCAATGGTGAGCCTTGCTGGCTCACATGATCCTGCTGTCCAATGGGGAGCCCTGCTGGCTCACCTGATCCTTACCCTCCAATCAAAAAGCACCCCATGCCAACTGTCAAACCACTCCTGGCTCTATAAATATGCAGAGCTGTTCCTCAAAAAACAGGCATTTTCTCCAACGACAAGCCTTGTTCGTTCTTTCATTGGTGCCGAAACCCAGGAGGGAGAATGCCTCGCTGCTTGAGGGCCCCTTCTCTCAAGGCTTGCCATCCTGGTCCACTCTTTCGAGTGCTGTTTACAACACCAGATCTTCAGTAGGTGAGTTCCCTTATTGGGTATCCAACTTCAGATGGGCTACGCAGGGGCTTTGACCGTGATCATCCGGCAAACCTCTGACGCCCAATCTGGGGGAGAGAACGCACCCCACCACGACCTTCACGGTCACAGTCGACTCTCTGGAGCCCAGTTCATGAGCGGGAGGTGCTGAGGGGTGGAAGAACAGGCACTCCTCTCTCTCTCTCTCTCTCTCAACCACCCTTGTCCCTCTCCTGACCTATGGGGGCCTCTTCTTCCCTCCCT